TCAAAATGGCTGCTTTACCTGTTACAAGATGCAGAAAATCGTCAGGAACGTTTATTTATACACAATTTTGCTCTTCTCAATGTGAATTGGGTTACTATGGTTGTCATTTGTGAAAAACATGCGTTCTCAGAAAAACAGTTTGGGAAACACTGGCCTACAAAAAGTCCACAAAAAGACACAGTCCACACAGCTTGCAGTAAGTTGAGTTTAATTCTGTAAGAAGTAGCCTGTTGTAACAATGAAAAAATAGTGCTTGTTGAAAATTCCCCACAGTACAACGTCTCATGTCCTTCGTATTATTATTATTATTCTTATCGTCAGGGTTCCACATTCGGCGCATGTCAGCAGATCTACATTACATTGTGTCTACGTATGAGACATATATGAGGTGAGAGGCGACCACTGACTCGTCTCAACAGCTACACACACACACACACAGGCGAGGTGACGTTACCCACAGCAGCATGACACAGAGTCCTGACAGAGGCCATCTGACTTGAGGCAGCAACAGCGGAGGCAGATTGACGTTTTACAAAATGCATGTACAACGGAACAGTACACTGAGAGATTTTTGGTGCACGCGGTATTAAGGACATAGAAATGATTGGAAAAACAAATGCACTGCGGCCCGTTGAATTTGCATTGCCATAACAATAGCCACAGTTTGCATTTGGCTCTAAGAACACACAACATTCTACACAGACAAAGCAACTTCCCAATTTATCATCAGGTTATTAAACCAACTGCTGCATTTCAAATACAAAGATCTGAATAAATAAGACACATTGTAGCATCTGCACAGTGTAAAAACATCTTTTGGTTTAAATATGACCCCCTCCCAACAGCTTTGACAGCTGTTACACATTTAAATAACATGAACATCATGAGAGCATTTCTCAGTCATTTCCCTACCAACTAACAGTTAGATATTAAAAGCAACATCTAGTCTTTCATAAATATTACAGTAGAGCAGACAAAACAAATGCTTTCAAACTGAGCACAGTGGCACGTTAACACAGAGAATGGCAGTGCTTAGAGCAGTGGCTCCCAACCTGTTTCCTTAGGGGACCCCTTTACTATCACTGAATAAATGAGACCCTACTGACATGTCTTTTATGTATATTTCATATTATAGTCAATGATAGACAGATAACAGGTAGAGAACAGCTGGTAAAACTTGAATATTGATCAGAGGATGACTTTTTCCTTGATACTTGTTTAGGAACGTCTTTCTTATAATTAAAATTGAGGCCCTTTTTTGCATTTTTTAGCACATCCATTACAGATATATTACTTCGTTTTTTTTTTTTTTGAAATCCTGGTGTTTCTCTTTCTTGCTGGATAGCTAAATTTAAATGCAAAGCTATTTGCGCCCTACTATTTTTTGTAAAAAAAAAAGTTTTCTCACACCCCTTAAAATCAAGAAGACCTTTTGACCCCTTGTGAAGCTTGGGTGACCCCTAGTGGAGGTTGGGAACCGCTGGCTTAGAGTCTATTAAGAGCTTCAAGGAAAAACAAAACGCTAAACATGACACAGTCTTCAAATACGTTGAAAGACTAAAGATTGGCAGAGCAGTATCTGATGCAAGGAACTGGCTTAAAATACAGTAATGCCCAAAATATGAGAGCAGAACCCTGTTTGTGGGTCTTCTTCATATCCGACCGGTCCCATTCAGGCTGGATTCAGGAGTCTTCGTTCTCCTCTGCAGCTTTGTCTTGCAGCTCATGAAGAATGGGATTCAGGATCGCTCTGAGGGTCGTGTACAAGGACTCGTTCTTCTCTGAGGCAGGGTCAATCTGGAGCGAACAGAGGAATATTTTAAAAGTCTGATTCAGATTTTCTTTCTTTCTAACATCTATAATTGACAGCTTACACAAACATTTTTGTAACCTTTTTTGAATGGAAAATTCTGTTTTATGTTCATAATAAAACACTGACTTTTCATTTTTTGTAAATAAAATCCAACCGAAAATGACTGCAGTATATCTTATTTCACCATTAAAATTCTACTCAAAGGTCCTGTGTGTAACATTTAGAAGGATCTATTGGCAAAAATAAAATATATTATTCATATCTATGTTTTCATTAGTGTATCACCACCTGAATATAGCTTGCCCTGCCCCACCTCTTTCTGGTAACTCGCATTGTGGAATTTTTTCATTGGCGATTCTGCTTTCACAGCAGTATATAAACCGCATGTGGAGGAGGTTGTTCTTCTTCACTTGCAGGAAAACCTGTGTGTGTTTACCCTAGTACAGTATTTCATTTCAAAACATCTGCTGTGAAAAAGGTCTATTCTGGTCGATTAATCAGTGCATGTCTGTTCTTAATATATTCAATATGTACCTTGTGTTAATCCTCACCTTAGTAAACACTTTTATTGTTTGATTGAGAAAACTAGTCTCCACCTCTTCAGGCACTGGCAGGAGATGAGCAACACAGTCAAGGATACACAGCAAAGTGAGTCTGTGGCCCTGTCAGTGGGGAGGAGGATGGAAAATACTATCAGATTTCACATCACATTCCTTTTAAAAGCAACAACAGTATCACATGAACCATATGAATAAAGGACAGTCCAATGACAAGCTGAATGATGGCTTCAAACTGCTTTTTATATTTCTATTCTTGGCAAATACTGTGGTTTACACATTTGACAAATAAGTGAATATGGCCCTGTGTAGTTTGGTGAACATTCTCATAGTGGCTGTTAAATACAAGACAGTGATACAAATGACGAGGTTGAGAAGACCACAGATTAAAATGCTGGACAATAAATGAATGAATCAACAAATAAAATTGCTCAGTTTTTAGTGTAGTGTTGATGGACAATGTTGTCCCTATATGTAAAAGTGCAACTCTGTCAATAGCCTTGAAATAATGCTTTCAGACAAACTTCTCCAAAAGCACTTTGGGCCGCATGTTTGTATGAAAGGTTCTGTATAAATACAGTAGTTTATACAGCAGTATAGTTTTTTTCATGTATCAACTAAGAAAAACATCTCAAATATACTTTTATTTAAAAAAAAAAGTTATTCTGTAAATAGTTCTCTTGCTCTAGTCTAGTGATCACAAACACTTTTCTGAAGTTCTGTAAATAGTTTTCTAATAAATATAGCTTAAAATGTGCTTAAAATAAGCACCACCCATGTCTGGTTTAAGCCCCGCCCATTCCGAATATAGATAATTTAGTTGGTTGTACACACACAGATTCGGATAATGGTGAACTGGCTCATCCCTTGTTTTTAGATTGATGGTTGTGTTCCGAACTGGCATTGTGATGGATTCAGACACTCATCATTCTCTATTAGTACAAAACAGTAGAACTTTGTAGAAATGGAAGTGCATCTCTCCAGAACATGCTGTCAGTGTGGACTGCCTTTAACACAGTAACAATGAATACAGGAGTTATAGTATTTTGAGAACAGCTAGGACTCTAATCAAGTTTTACAGTGTTACTGGACACTGAGTTAAAACTGCCTGTTGCTGTGATGCTGGAAATATTACCTTTTCCAGCGAGTCGAGGGCATTCTGTGGGTTCACGTTCTTCTCACTGAGGGCTTTTATATCCTCGCTGCTGATGACTGGATCCTTGAGCTGCTCCAGCCACGACCACATTAGACTGGACAGGACCAGAGGATCTCTTTCCATACACAGCCTCTCCCACGCTCCCTCTCTGGAGTTCAGCTCCGTCTGCACATCACAACAAAGAGCACTCTGACAACGAGCTGATGGAAATGAAGAGGCACTATATCAGGTATAACAAAGGACTAAAATTGTTATTGTTCTGTCTGTTACACAGTTCATTGATGAAAAATTAGCACAGCACAGTCAAGGGTGTGTTTTTAGGGTTGGGATTTTCAAAACTAAACAACAGTTCACCAATAAATAGGAGCTCTGAATGTATGTAGTGTAGTGTATATTAATCATGCTCACATTGATCTGTGGATAAAAGAAATGAAGAAATCCACTAACTGAAGAGCTGAGCAAGTGCCACGTAAGTGAAATCCTATTCTGCAGCTTTAGAGGAAGTGACAACCTGTCAGTCACACTTAGGGGATTAGAGCCTCCTATCACCAAGGCTTCAACCCAGCACAACAGGATGCTGCTGATTTCCCAGAATTACAACTTGGCGGCTGTAAGGTGGCATGTGTAGCACTGGATGTTACATTTTCTCTTCGGCTTCACTGGAGCAGATGAACATCTTCCATTGGATTGGACTAATTCAATCATTCTACCATCTTACACTGTAAGAATCTATAAAGCTCAGTGTGTTTTAATACACACAGGAAACCAGGTAATTGGGAAAATCTGTTAATACAGACACTGTAATAACCTGTGAAATCTGTATTTACATGAAGCATGTAAGTAATTACACCTCCCCTAACTTTGTTTTACAACAACTTACTCAAAGGTCCAGTGTGTTTTTAGGAGGATCTAAAGGCAGAAATGGATTATAATATTCATAGGTATCTTTTATTAGTTCGGGTCTACTATGGAGTCCTCTATGTGGATCCACCATGTTTCTACAATAGCCCAGAATGGACATTTTCAACACTGGCTGTAGATAGGGCCTTTAGGATTTTTTGCAAGTTTCTCCTACACACTTGGAAGGTATTCAAATGGTTGTAATCTGCAACTTCAGCACTAGATGCCCATAAATCTACACACTGGTCTTTTTTAGAAACAATTTAACAATTAGAAATACAATTATTTGTTTTCTTTCCGAGAGTTCAATGAGAAGATGGATACCACTTTTATATCCATCTGTTATATAGTATGAAGCAAGAGCCAGCTTTAGCATAAAGACTGGACACAGGTGTCCAAAGGTAAAATAATCCACCTACCAGCACCTATAAAGCTCACTACTCAACACATTATATCAAGTATGTTTAATCTGTCCAAAAACAGAATATAAATACAGTGGGCAGGGCGTAGTCACTTCCTGAAGCTGAGGTTGCCAGGGAACCTGCTGAGACTCCAGGTATATGACGATATTACAATGGGCGTGTCTTAAAGGACCAGTGTGTAGGATTTACTGGCATTGCAATTAACTGAACACCGCTCACATCTGTATGGGGCGGCTGTGGCTCAGAGGCAGAGCGGGTCGTACCCCAATCGGAAGGTTGTTGGTTCGATCCCCGGCTCCTCCTGCCACGCGTCGAAGTATCCTTGATGCATGGCATCGGTGTGTGAATGTGTATGAATGA